CGGGCGACGCGGACCTCGCGCGCGCGGCCGGTGCCGCGCTCGGGGACGACGTCGCCGCGGAGATCGACGCGAGAATAGTCGCGCTCCGGGCCGCCGCGGGCGGCGCGTTCTAACATTAGGGATGGAACTCCACGGTCAGGTCGTTCTAACAAATTTAGGGCCCAATAGGGGTCTTAGGGGCTGGCTCCGCGCGCGCGCGCCGTCTAGGAGCCCCCGCTCGGGCAGTAGAAGTCCACGACCAGTCCGGCGGCGTCGTCGGAAAGGTCCACGCGCTTGGAGCACTTGGTCACGAGGCCAACGAGGACCTGCTTGAGCTTGAGCGCGTACCCTTTCCAGCCGCCGGCCTTGATGACCAGGTCGACCGACGCCTTCGCGGGACTTTCTTCCAGATCGTCGGCAAGGCCCGTCATAGCAGCGCCGGCCCGAAGCAGACACTTGGCCAGGGCGCGGTTGCGGGCGAGCAACTCGGCGGGCATGCGGGAGCCATCTGAATAGAAGACGCGAAGCGCGCGATCCAAGGGCCTCTCGCCGCGATCGTTTTTCGCGTCAACCAGAGCGCCCTTCGATATGAGCAGCTTTGCCACGGCCACCGCCTTCTTCGGATTGCGGATAGAAAACACGACATGCAGAGGCGTCTCCGAAAGATATCCCTTCGCTTGGACGTCGGCGCCCGCCGCGACCAAAGCGGCAACCAAGTCGGGGTTTACGTGTTCACGGCCGACGACGCGTATCGCGTCAAAAAGAATTTTGCTATCAGCGCTGGCGTCGGCGCCGAGAGCGAGTACTTCGTTCACCATATTCACAGAGGGGTTGGTGTTGATCCGCAGAGAATAGATAGCAAGGCTGAGAGCTGTCGCTCCATTGGGGATTTCTGAACCGCCGCCGCCCCATACGTGGTTAATATTCGCGCCCTCGTTAATGAACATGCGCACGGCATCGATGTTGCCCATCTGGACGCACATGAGCAAGCTGTGCTGGTTCGCGGTCGGGTCGTTCATCGTGCCGGGGCGCCGGATACGCGTGCCTCTAGCAAGTCCTCAGCCCGGGTGATCGGCGATCCACGGCCAGGTCGTTCTAACATATATTAGGGGTGGAACTCCACGGTGAGGTCGACCTTGAGGGGCTCGCCGGGGAGGTCGCCGACCGTGAGATCACACATGCTCGCCGGAAACTGGACGGCCGTGTGCATGGGCAGGTCCATGACGCGGTCGAGCGGGATGGGCGTCCGGGGCTTGCGCGTCGTCAGCGCGTCCTCCGGGTTGAGCGTGAAGGCGATGGCCTGGCGGTGCTCGAGGGCGATGGCGACCTTGACGCGGAGCGGCGGCCGCGCGCCGTCGTCGCCGTCCTTGCGGAAGATGCGGTAGGCCGAGAGCGCCATCTGCATCTCGCGGAGGTCCGGGTCCTTGCCTGGGCAGCAAAAGAGTGATTCAACGTCGCTTCAACGTGAGTGTTCCGCGCGCACGCGTTCCGGAAAAAGCGCCCACGCTTCGAGGCCGTTCCGAAAGATGATCGCTCGTCCAAAAATCAGCCAAAACGAGTGGAAAACGGCCGAGAAAGGAGCCTTTGAAGTTGGAAATTTCGCTCTCTTTTGCTGCCCGGGTCCTTGCGCCGCCGCACGCGCAGGAAATAAATGTCGCCGTCGATGGCGTAGAGCAGCTTCCACTTGCGCATGCGGTTGAGGCGGTCGCGCGGCTCGGCCATCTCCACGAGGTGGTCGACGAAGCGCTCGCGCGGCGCGCGGTCCGTCACCCGGAGCCGGTGGGCCTCGACGCCGTGGTCGCGCATGGCCTCGACCTTGAGCAGCGCCGGGCAGCCCTCGGCGAAGGGGCAGCGGTACTTCTTGTGCAGACAGACGTCGTCGTGCGCGCGGCGCTCGGCCTTGGTGCCCGAGAAGTCGCAGCCGTTCTCGTCGAAGCGGCAGGGCATGTCCCTCCCCGCGAGGCGCAGCTCCACGTGGCGCGCGCGCTTGGCGCCCATGGCGACGCCGCAGACGGGGCAGGCGCCGGCCTCGGGCAAAGAGGCCTTGCACGCGCCGCACGCGATGTGGCCCCGCCGGCACGCGTAGACGTCGCCTGTGCCGAAACCAACCACTGGTTTGGGTGGTCCTGACCAAACTTGAGAATTCTCTAGCTCGGTCAAATCAAAGTCGATTCGGCTGATTTTTGGACGGATCGATCGCTCTCGTCGAGTTCTCGAAGCCCAGCCGAAGAGCTTGTGTCAAAACATTCGAATACGCTCACATGAAGTCGGGT